ATGCTGATACTTTTGCTTTGCCATTGCTGGCTGGTAATGGCGAGCCAGTGCTTTGAGAGCATAAAATGATTTCCAAATGGGAACATCCTTTGCAGTGACCCATATTTTGTGCTGGGCTTGTACTGCTAATTTCCATCTAAAACCCTAAAGGAGAAACAAATACATGAAGACAGAAAGTTATTCTATGATGGAAAACCCTCTTTTTCCATTCGATGATATTATTCAAAGAAAGGGTTTTTATATGCTGCATGGAATGATCACAACATACATACATATTATGTGAAGTATATATATGTATATACTATAAATGGCTGGATTGGTACAGTACATTTGGTGATGCAACCGTTTGGAAAAAAAAAAAAAGTCAATGCTAACTTTGGAAGCTCTGTACTAATTTTGTATAATAGAAAAAGCAGATTATGAGTGAAACATAAGCATGCCCAGAGAATATACTGCAGGCCTACAAACTCTTTCAACTCAGTGCCTCTGCATGCAACAATTGTATTGTCACCTACATGTGTGTAAACCAAAATCTCTTATAATTCAGCTAGAGAAACACAAAATTTCATTGCATTTCTTTGCCTGTTTTCTATCTCAAATGTTACATTTTAACCTAGAATAAAAATGGGCCGCAGCCCCACACACAGTAGCTGCACTACAACATAATCAGATCAAATCAATCATATCAAACTACATCATCAGACTTTCAAATAACAGGGCTAACTTGTTATTATTTTTTTAGGAAACTATTTTTGTTCCCCTACTCATGCTAATTACTTCTAACTTTACAGCGCAAAGGCATTTTGCACTTTCCAGTCCTTGAGACCTTATTTGACAATGAAGGAATGTGTTACATTACAGTCTTGCTGGGTTTGTTGGACCAAAGTCCTATAATACAGCATAATGACTTCAAAGACAGCAGGTCAAAGAGAGAGAGAGAGTCCTCAGTGGTCTTGCCATAAAATATTGTTAATATTATGTACAGTTTCTCACTTGCTTTTGTTAAAAACACAAAACAAACTGTAGCTATTTATCTGTAACTGTAGCTTTTGTCTTTGCCTTTTGAGGATACACATGTTATATACCAGTCACTGGCCCTCTGTATTGATCTATTATGTATAGATTATACATATTTACAACTCTGGTATTGACCATCTCTCTTGTCAGGAACACAGAGATCCAGGGATATGTTTGATCTGCCATGGGCTATTAAAAATAATGCAAAATATCCAATTGTGTAACATAAAGCTCTGCTCTGTTTAAAAGAGTAACATATTAGGTATTGTAAATACTGTTGTTAATGACTAATAGAGTAGGTTTCTTACATTGAATCTGTTGCATTGCTGATGTGAACATGAATGTGGTCAAAGATCTGAAATAGACAGAGAAGGATATTATTTAGTGTTTGTGTGATGATGACACCTTCACAGACATGATTTAAAAGTTTGTTTTAATCTAGGGAGTAATATGTGTCTGTATCTATGAAGTCATTGTCATCTATTGAGGATACTGCATTCAGTTAAGTTTGCTCTTCGCAATCGAGTATCAAGACTCCTCATTGTAGTGGTGTACTTCTGACTATCCAGTTGCTTTTGGTGACCCTGCAGGGCAAAATTATTTGTACAAGTTGTAAAACAAAATGAAGCTTTTCTTGGGTGGTTGCTTTGACGTTTATTGCCATATTAATTCAGAGGTGATTGGCTTTTCTGTTGTTTCTTTGCTGTACTTTGATTTTGTGGTTGCTGTATTGTTTGAAGGAAAAATCTAAATGAGTATTTTTTTGGATAAAAGGACCAAGCTCTGCAAACCCTGCTCCCCTCTTCCTGATACAGTTTGCATTCGACCAGGCTGTTGTGCTGTGTCCTGATAACTGGGACCTGTCTCACCATTCAGGATCACTGAGTTGGCTGGAGAACTACACTGAGTACAACCAGGAGCAGCACAGTGTTCTTCTGTCTGTGTCAGAGATCAGATGTGGTTCTAGCTTTTCCAGCTTTCTTCATTAATCCTGCTTTGTGAAACAGACTCCAGAGTTGCCGCTCTTGACCGGCTGCTGGAAGTCGCTCTTAGTTCTTCCACTTTAACTATTATTGTATTTGTTATATTTTTACTGCCCTTTGAGGTTCATTTGGTTCTTTGTTGTAATTATTGTTTTACCTTTTTCTGAAATAGACAAATAAACTTTACTAGCTATTGCAACAGTGTTTTTATTCATTCTGTTCTCCACACATGTTTCACATAATCCCTTTATATATGTTTTGTCGATGAAAACCATACCATGCTGCTTGCCGCAGTATCTTGCTACTGTATGGCTCCTGAAGAAGCCTGACCTTTGCCCTCTTTACCACCAGCTGATGGTGATGTTCACTGAACATGGCGTTGGGGAATCCTCCCTAAACAGAAGTGGTTTTAGCAGCAACAACTACTTAATGTATCAAAGGTAAAAGCAGCCATTAGGCAGCAGAATGGAGGCTGTTAGTGTAATATTATATTATTGGATTTTTATTACTGATGTATTTCTGTGTAAGTAGCATTTTAATACTGCAGCTGGCCAAGATGGAGCTAATTTGATTTACTTTGTACTGTTGGTTAGTTTAATCTTTAACAAGGAATCATATATTATAACCTGACAATATGCTTTCTATGCAGAATTTGTGTCTGTACTAAGTACAGATAAAGTACTATGGCTGACAGATGAATTCAACAGAGTAAAAAGAACAATATTTTTCTCTTAAATGGAAATACACACGTTTCCTCTGTTGCTGTCAGTGTTTATTTTTAATCATTTCCTTTTCCTAGAGTACCAGGTACTTTCTCTTGTTGGTTGATAGACATCCTTGCAAAGTTATGAAACTGCAAACTTAAATTCAATTAGTCAGGGCAAGTTTAAAGAAACAAGGCACATAAGTTGCACACATGGAAAAATGATTTGTAGAGATGATGGTTTCTGATATGAATTGCATATGCAAGTTTCTTAAAGGTGTAATGTGTAAGATCTGGCCAGACTGTAAAATGGTAAAAAAAAATTAACTAACAGTATCAATAGTATGTGAAGGAACCGCATTGATGATGTCATCACCATGACCTCCATCTATTGTATTTCAGAGATATATCTACTGAAATGACCATGCTAACCAACTAGCTGCGTCCCGGGCCGTGTTGTAATACCACTTTATGACACAAGATGCTGTGTGAGTCAGTGTGGCGTCTAGTCTGCCCTCAGCCCACGAAGAAGAAGAACTTCCTCCAGAACTTGAAGTTACGCTACAGCCCCCGGCTAAAACAAAAAAAGGGGCCGACTTGCATCACGAGTTTTTTCAACACTTTTGTACATAGTTTTTTTCATAGTTTTATTTTTTGAATATGTGTATCTATGTATATTTATCTTTTTGACTGTTGCAGTATTTTACCTTTTATTGTCATTTCCTATTGTATATTGCACCAAACACCAAGCCAAATATCTTGTAAGTAAAAACCTACCTGGCAATAAACCTTATGTTCTGATTCTGCCTTTGTGATGATGTCATCATCCCTTCCTCATGCTGCTGTAGCCTGACACCCATGTGTCATGCAGTATTCCCTTGCCTTCATATTTTTATCGGTAGATAAAAATATACTGTTTATATTAAAAGTACTTGTAATTTGTTTCAGTGCTATCAATAATTTTACTATCAACAATAAATGCACATATAAATGATAAATTATAAGGAACATGGGGAAAACGCCAACATGATTAACTGGACAGGGGCAAAGAGGTGAAATGCTGGCCCGTATGAAGGTGGAGCAAGTAGCACAATCTTACACATTACACCACTAAAGCCAGCAGCTAGCAACTATTACAGGCACTTCTGCATTAGCTTACTACCTTAATTATGTCTGCCAAAAGAAATGAGGGGAGGCTCATGATGATGGTTTCATTCAAGAAAATAAAACATCTAATTAAGTACAAGGAATGATAAGTAAATTAAACACGCCTGATGAAAAAGGAACGAAAAAAAGATCAGGACACTTGATTCATGCTTTTGCAATTGTCACATTTACAGTGTAATTTCCATTTACTTCCACAGGAGCGAAACTTCATCACTGATCCAGAGACAGTGATGTGCTCAAAATGTGCCCTCCAGTGGATGTTGTGTTAACCGCAGCTGTAGTCACAGATGGGAGTTGTAGTCACAGAGGAATTTGTAGTCATACAGGAGTGGTAGATTCTCTAAGCCTGTCCCTCATGTTTCCACACTTCCTACTCTGTCCACAACAACCAGCGCTACATTCCGTGAACAGCAGGAGGCGCTGTAGGTACACACTGTGATGTTCTTGCCCTCTGCTCCAGCCACTTTGCTAGTGTTGAGCTTTTTGATTATACACTGCTTGGGTTTTCTTGGTCCTAGTCATGATCATGATCATACCACAACAGTTGGAAGGAAGACTGACTACTGTATTTTGAGATTTTTTTATTTTGCTCCGGGGAACACACTTGTGTGTATCCACTGCCAGCACCAGCTCTGTCTCTCTACATAGAGTCATTTTTGTATCATATTCAGATTCAGTCTAGACAGAGGCAACTATAGCGGAAGTTTTTTGCGATGATGTCAATATGACATCAGCAGGTCTTTTCTCTGTCTGCGTGACATGCGTGAGAAATAGGTGAGATGCTGAATCTACAGATCACACGACGTAACTTCACGCAGGCAGTGTGTCCGCGAAACACATGCAACGCATCCGGTGGGTTCCTGGTCGGAAACTGCTGACCGCAGTTAATCTCACAAAGCCAGTCCATTTTACTGCACTACACTGAAACAGCTCAGCACTAAGCATCATTTTAAGTCTCATCTGCATACACATATTTGTCAATCTTGGCCATCTCTGATATCCTTAAACTTTTGATTGATGTTGTGATCAAAGAATCATTTTTTGAGGATGACAGTGAAACACAGCAAGATGTTTGAGAAGTTCAAAAGTTTTTTGAAAAGAAATTTATTTGAAACAATTTTTGCATAGAACAGACGTTTGGTGACTACCATAGAAAATAAAAGTACGGTATTTGGTTGAAATCACAGAGACACTATAAACTTAAACATTACATACAGTACACACAACAATCAAACTGTTATCAGACTATTGACAGGTTTCATGCACATTTAATAGTCACATTTTCTGTCACACATCCTTCATATCCTTTTCCCTTGCTTCACAAACCCAGTAATTTTCATATGAACAAGGTAAGTCATTCCACTTCAATAAAGTTTCACTGTCAGTATTTCGGATTTCTACACAATCCTCGTTTCCAGCGTTGTCAGGCTGTAAAGATTGCCAATAACTGCGGGGAGATCATAGAGCAAAAATCACTTTTCTTCACAATTTCTTCTCTATTTTATTACATGAAGTGTGAACTGTGGTTCTGCTGGCTGTGCTTAAATAATACAGCTGGAGTTATCATATGTATATCATTATATGAGATTGAAAATTTAAGTATGATGATTAAGTGTAAGTATTACTGTTAATTTATCTTGTGAGTCAATATGAATAATTTTGCAGGAATACGAGTCAAACATTTCTAAGGTTTGAAATTGAGCTAGTAACTTAACAAATATGTGATAAAGCAGCAGGCACAAATGCTGGGTGATGGAGAAAACAGAGAAAGCTCAGTAACTAATGAGATATGAGGCTTAACAGTACAGATAAATGTGGGCTCACTATCTGGCAAGCAACAGGTCACTGTTGCCCTTTTTATCTAATGTGTTATAACAGCTTATAAAGGATTATTAAAATGTTAACAACCTAATTAATAAACTAGTTATAAACCATTCATCAATCCTTTATGAGGGTAGTCTTGCTGTAAAGTGGTACCCACTCACACTAACACAACTTTTGTTTTTGTTTTTACCTTGTAGCCGGAGTTGTCCCATCCACCCATTTCCAGACATTCTCCTCATCTTGGTCAGTCAGCCCAATCCAAACTCTTTTGTTCAATTTGATCAAAAATTGCTATTTGAAAGAAAAATTATGAGACATGACACATGATAGTTAAGCATGCTTTCCTCACGACATGTGTTACTGACGCTGCACTAACATAGAAAACAAAAACACAGGCATTAGTACCAAGGATGTTCACTCAGTAACAATATTCATAAATGAATGATACATTTTTTTGATTTCAAATCAAAATTATACGAAGTGTTTTTCTCTCACCTGTTCCTCTTCACTGTTAATGATCACCAGGTCAGCTCCTTCCTTCAGACACTCCTCTCTGCTCTGATCCCAGGCCTTCTTCTCAGTAGATATGTAGTAATAGCTGCTGCCAAACCTTCTCCAACACTTATAACAACCTTCGTCTGTAATAAATTTCATACAGCCCGTTAGAGTTTTATATAGTTTGCATATGAGCTAAAATATTGGCCCAACGACGCAGCCAGAGGGGAAATCAGTGGGTCCCAAAAGCATTATGATTTGTCCTGGGAGGACTAGTGAATTTCATTAATAATAGGCTCCGAGCTACTTTGTATGTTGGTCATGGTGAAACTTTGACCTGACAATGGTGCTAGATAGAGGACCAGAGGGTCATCCACTGAGGACCATGAATATTAAATATTATGGCAGTCATTGCTGAGGAACGTTTCCCATGTAAAACTGATATGTTAATTATGATATACTAATTAATGAGCACATTGTGTAAGTACTAAATTAAACTTAGGGGAGAAAACAGTAGCAACGTGCAAGCAGCAGAGAAATCTGAAATCGTTCCAGGGTTTACTGAACCTACAAAAAGTAGTTTTGAGTGATTTAGACATGCCAGCAAGAATGAAGAAATAAATTATTACCTTGAATCTTTCTCTGAAAACCTTTTCTCTCTTTATTCATGTCTTCAAACCTTTTTTGGAGTTGGTTTTGTCCTTCAGCCAGGTTGTTGAAACTGGTCTGTAGCTGGTCTAATTCTTTTGTCAGGTTGTTGTGTAACTTGTTCCACTCAGAGGTCCCTTGGGTGACTGTGTTTGGCAAATAAACAACAAACAAACACTGTTAACTAGCGTCACTTGCTAAGTGCTTTATCAGCATGCTAACTAACTACTCACACAAGTAAACCAGAGTTATGAGTCCGGTCACGAGCAGAATACACAGCAGACCCAGAAACGCTGCGGCAGCTCTGCAGGAACTCCTCGTTACATATTCAGCATCTGAGAATAGAAGTCAGTGTAGTATAGTCTGTTCTGTTTCGTGCGCCTGTGTGTAAAGAGTATCATAAACCTGTGTACCTGTCTGCGTGTGTTCATTACCTGAATGTACACATCCAGTTCTGTTTGGCTCCAGAGTGCGGATTTCATTTTCATTCACATAAATATTTTCTGAGGCTTGACCCATCCTTTCCCTCTCGAGGCGATTACCTGATGGTTCCTCTACATTCACAGAGTCTTGAGAGCGGGCTTCTGAAATTAATAATTAATAATAATTAATAATTGAAGTTATCCGTCTGAACTGTGAACTCAAATGAAGTCACACCTATTTAGCAGCATATACTGTTCACGTGTTATTTTCAACAGGAAACTGAGGGCAAGTCAGACAGACAGACAGACACATACCACAGTTGGTGGTACACAATGTGCAGGAGTTGAGCATCTGTTTTTTAAAATGAAAATGTATGACCACATCCAGTTTCTGTAGTACCACCACTACACATATGATTATTATTTGCATTTCTGAAGTATTGTTTTAAAAAAAGAACAAATTGGTGAAGACTCTGATGAAAATGCCTGGCCTCATTTTTTTAATCTTTCAGCCTAAATCTAGCAAAATAAATGTTTGTTTTCTTATATGCCCAGTTCCATTGCCCATATCTGGCTCATATACAGCATGATTGTCAGATGCTACTTCCACATCTGGACTAATTCTTCTTTTTTTATAATTATTTTATGGGTTATGCCTTTATAGCATTTGTGCCCACAGAAAATCTTGCATCCAGAATCTGCCCACATGTGGAAGTATATGGGCCGGACTCTGGGCCAGAAATTTAATTTTGCTCTCTCGGCATGCTCGGCTTGGTCATGGTAACAGACCACAGCTCAACCCTCAGCTGGTTATAAACGCTGGTCTGAGGTCAGTACAACACAGCTCAGAGCTGACCATCAAGTCTGTTTGCTGTTTTGTGTGAGGTTAACAGCTACATGCAATATGTCACATATCATCCAGCTGCTACTGGTGTGCATCTCTGCTGAGGTATTAAAAAATGAGGTCAATCAAAAATAAATAAACACAATAGAGAGAAAACAGTGTGCATCGAAAATAGAAAGAATACCAAGACATAGTATTTGTATTTCATGTAGACACAGCTGAAATAAATTCTTTCATTACTGCATTAATAGGCAGTTCATGATGACACACATGTTAAATATTACCCATTTTTATGAGTTATATATTAATGATTGCACTGTTTCACACACACACATGCCCTACTGTGTTGCAAATAAGTGTTTCTGTTGTTTACCTACATCCTCATCTCGAGTATGCTGAACAGAGTAAAACTGAACAGAGAATTGCTATCAGTGATAATGCATGTCTGACATCAGGCACAGGTTTCTGTAAGGAAGCTGTCAAGAATGGAGTTCAGCCTATTGTTCATCACCATTTATCAAACAGAAACCATGAGACCGGTCAATAGAACAAAGAAACCAAAAAACATACCTGTCTAGAAATTCAATATCCCCTTAATACAACAGTGTTTCTCAAAATTACTATAAAGATACACATCAGAAGAAATGTAACTAGAAATTGAAAATCTAAAACTACTTGTATTGTATACATATTCATTATAATTTGTAAATTGTAAATTGGAAGAAGTTGGATTAGGAGATATGTTACATTATCTTCACCACTTAGCTATGAGTGCAACAGATCTACACACCGCCATTATTTTAAATCAATTGTACAAAGTATCTCAATTTTTCATACATCCAAAACACATAGGCAGTAAATAAATCTATTCTCTTCAAGCAGAGATAATAAAAAGGTTAAAGACTTGAGTCATGTGCTATATTTACAGTGTGATTTACATTTATCTTTTACTTCCAAAAGAGAGAAACCGCAACACTGATCCAGAGACAGCGTGATATGCTCAAAGTGAGCCCTCCTGTGGATGTTGTGTTAAGTGCAGCTGTAGTCACAGGTGCAGACGTGGTAGATTCTCTAGCCTGTCCCACACACCTCCCCACATTTCCTACTTTGTCCACGACAGCCAGCTCTACATTCTGTGAACAGCAGGAGGCGCTGTAGGTAGCCACTGTAATGTTCTCGCCCTCTGCTCCAGCCACCGTGCTGGTGTTGAGGGTACCGTTCCCCTGGCGGACGGTGATGCTCTCGATCCCGGTCCCGTTGATGCCATCGGTGAGATTAGCAATGAATTCCCACTGTGAGGAAGCACAGAGTGACGAAGAGGAGGGACAGCTGGTTGATGTACTGACTTCCTGACACACAGGGCGGGTAACATCTGTCACCTGGGCAACACAGAAACAGAAGTGGGAAAGATGAAGAAATAAGACGGGTATGGGGCATCGTACAAATCATTGAGAAAAAGGGAAAGCACAAGAACTAAACTTGGGAGAATTATTTTATCACCTATGAATGACATTTTAACATCAGTATACTTACTGTAACCAAAAAGCTCCACAAATGCCATCAAAAGACAACAAATGGCCAAATTAAATTCAATTAAATAATAGTCTAATAAAAATACCCTGGGCTACCCAGCATCTGTCCTTTGATGCCATCTTTTTATTTCATCACAACTGACTTAACAACAAAGTATCAATGTTAAAAATATGACACATAGAGTATTGCTTGGCACCAAAACTATTATCACGAAACCGTCTCCATATCTTTTTCTCTTACCTTGGCAGCCACAGAAAACCTGAGCACAGCGTAGTTGACGTCGGTGGCAGCTGCGTTTTCTGCCTCAATTGTGAGGGTCACGTCTGTTCCCGACGCAGCAGTGGACGGTACAGTTAAGGTCACAGTGCCGTTGGCCGCGCCTCCACCTCCTGTCGCTATGGTCACCGTGCTGGGTGAGGTGGAAGCATAGCTGCGGTCGTTGTTGGCTCGTACTGTGAACGTCCCGGTTGCAGAGTCGTTAACAACTCCGTTGGTGGATGTGGTGACGGTGAATGGGATGGAGACGGTGGAGCCAGGTTCTACGTTGGTGTTGTTGGCTTGAGACTGGAAAAGTGGAAGAAGTGGAGGTAGGAAAGTAAAATAGAAATATAAGGTTATAAAAGGGATAGACATTTCTTTTTGTATTGCATTTAATGATATGTTTATAGGTGTTAATATGAACTTGGAGCTGAAATATTGATACCATTCATTTGGGGGGATACAAGTGTTTCAATTTACCAGTTGGCAATTGCAAAAAGTGAAGCCTGCTGTCATGAAAACCTATTAAACCTTTTACTTTTTAAATGCTGACACAAACTACTGTTTCACTGAGGCAGAAAACAGCGCGTGACTGAGCTCACAGTCACAGAGATGCTGGAGGTCTTGATCTGTGTGGAGGCCTGTCTCTGGAAGCTGCTCGGTGCCGACCTGGAGGTGGAGCTGCTGTCCTCTCCTTTCAGGCGGACCACAAAGTCACCTGGTGGTACTCCACTGAATGTCACCAGGAAGTTGCCACTTCCCTTCGACTGTGGAGGGCAGAGAGAGAAAGACACACGCTGTCACAGAGCAGACCTGTAACATGAGGAATTATTGTTTTTCTGCTGCAGCCCTACTTTGAAATCTAAGTTTGCAAGACATGTATTTTTCATAATAGCTTCTTCACTGTGTGATTAAATGACACAAATAATCCTAACCGCCTGTCATGATTTGTCTTAAAATCAGTGAAAAATATTAAAAGTCAACATTTGAGATTTTCTAGTGGCTCATTAACAACAAATATCAAAAACTTACTGAATTGATCAAATTAGATTTTGTACATTCCAGGCAGGCAGGTTTCAAATAATGTCATCATTCCACAAAAAAGAGGAATGAGCTTTTTAAAGAATAAAAAAAAGAGCAGCCACTGACTGCAGTTTGTGACAGTGAAAGGCTTATGTTGATGCATCTCAGCATAAACCTGTCGATGCTGCCAAAGGAGCAGTGCCAAGCTTAAAATCCAGAGTGGTTGCCAGTTAAAGCCTTTTTTTTTAGTTCACTGTGCCAGTAAGTGGCTGTTGGTGTACATATTCAACTTTTGCAATATGAAGATTGACTGTTAGAGACATAAAACTCACTGTGGACTCACCAAGTTGTTGTTTGCTTTATTTTAGTCTAAGTTACATAATCATTGTGTGATAAAAGATTCCAGCACTGTTTTTTTTTTAGGATATTCTAGTATTGAAGATGTGAAAGTCAGCTGTCAGAAAGCATAGTGACATCAACTACAACCAATGGCTTCCCTTAAGGTAGAAGAAAACAACTTGTTTGAAATTGGTAAAGAGTAATGTAAAGTACACACTTTAGTTACTAAGTAAGTTATAACATCTGACATGCCTGTAGTGATCCGTTGACCTCCGTTGGCCCTGAGCTGTCAAACAGAGTGACCTCTGTGACCTTTACTGTGTCACTTCCTGTCACAGAGACCAAGAGGCTGGCATTACCACCTGCAAGTTTGGACAAGAGAGAAAGGAGAGCTGGATGTGTATCATCATGTATTATCACACAGATGAATATGACAGAATAGGGTCTGGCAGATGATGATTCTTTAAAAGATGCTGAGGACAATAAGGAAACAAGACTAAATACAAACTGTAAAGCTGAAGGTGACATTGATTATAAAAGTGGCCTGACCTGAAAGAGGTCGTCCCTCCTTCAGACTGAAGTCCCCGTGAGCTCCTTCATGCGCCTCCACAAGGTTATAAATGAAGTTCACCGAACTTTGACCTGATGTATGCACACAAATAAAAAAACAAAAAGAAAAAAAGAAAAAAATCACAAAAAATAAAAACCACAACAGCAGACAAAGACCCATGAAATAAAGTCTTTTGAAAATGACTGACCTGTGACCTTAACAGAGTAGGGACTATTGGAGTTAACGCTGATTTGCCATGACCCTGTTTGATTGTCTGTGTCGAGGCTTAAACGACGCAGGTTTCCTGCTGTAGTGAGAGATGCCAGAGGACCACTGGACTGACTGGAACTCTGAGATACACCTGGAGGAGACAGAGACATGTTAACACTAACACTGCCAGCACAAAAAAGACCTTATCGATGGTAGATGGAGCAACATTAGCAATAGCCACACCTGTGGGGCTGGTGAGACTGAACGTGAGAGATGAGGCCCCTGTGACGTACGCAGTCATGTTCCTTAATGAACCATCAACAGTAAATGTGAAATTGTCAGGAATTCCAGGATTCCTCACTACCTGGAAAACTGTCACCTGAAAGAGGAAGGAACAGAAGCCTCACATTTAAACACGTACTGTACAGTGGCATCTTCAGTCAGGTACGATTTAACTGTTCGATATCTTACCACAGCGCTGGCTGATGAATCCTCGATAACACTTGTAGCAACAGAAAGATCTGACTTAGTGACCTCAATGGCCTGACCCCCAGAGGCTCGGGCTAGGTCTCGATACAGCTGGGCATCCGATTGGCTCATTGCACGTGAAATCCCACCTTGAACGCTTCTACGGCGCCGTCTACTGGCCAGGACGTCTGTCAGCATGAAAGTAACCTAAAATAATGAGGAAAGAAGCATACTTGTAAAGGCTATATTAGAACTGCATACACGATATATAAGCCCACAATTGTTTACATACTATTTTGTCATTTTTTTCTGTGGAATGAAGGATAATAAAAGGTGACACCTACCACAGACTTGGTGCTCTCTATAAGGGCAGTGATGGTGCTCTTCAGATGGGCATCTTTAGCTGGAGCATCGGTGAAAATAAAGATCTCAGAGGAGGGTGGAGCTGCAGTCAGGGCAAGCTGTCAGTCATATACAGTACAGGAAAAAGTGTTATTAAACTAAAAAAAATTATCCGGAGTAGGAATTTCTTAAAATTTAGATTTCAAGGATAATTATGAATCAGTGTATTAGGTAATAACAAGTGTGATCAGGCATGAACCACATTTTATTGTTCAGTGACTTTAATTGGAATTGTCTCATGATATCATGATGCTATTGTGTTGTTGCTTTATGAAATGAATTACAATTATTGCATAACAGCAGAAAACTGTCACATATGATATTCTCAACACCTGCAGTCCAGACAAGCACAACTCTGGCACGTCCCCTCCTCCATTGGCAGACAGCATGTTGATGCTATCTTTGAATACATCTGCATTGGTTGTCATAATCAGAGGTCCAAAACCTGGATATAGAATAGATAATGGATCCCAATCACTCATTTAATTAAACATTTGACTGTGGCTATTAGGGGACAGACAGAGATTACAGAGATAACAGGCTACACTTCTCTGTAATGAGCAACAAAAACCTCCTTGTGAGTTACCCACCTGGGTCATTGAAAGGTACCAATATGTAGGCAGAGGGCTCCTGCTGGGTTCCCCTCTTACTGTCAATGATGTCGAAGGAAACTCTCTTGGCCTCGGCGATGTCATCACTCATACTGCCTGTGGTGTCAATGACGAAGCACAGCACAGAGGACTGGGAGAGGCCCATCAGTCTGTAGGGACAAGAGAGAGGGGGAAAAAACATAACTACCTGTTCATCTTGTTATTGTTTCTTATGTGCGTTAGCCTGATGGTCACGGGTAATTTATCTGTGATCAATGATTACCATTTGCCCTGCTGCTGCTTAGCACATGAAGACAAATGTTTAGAAGCAGCCAAGCATGAAATGAAGCAGCCTAGCATGAGATACATCTAGATATTGTTGTAAAAAGCTGAGCTAAATTTCCTGAAAAGTGAAAGCTTTTTAGATGTTTAACATGCATAGTACTGTTGTTTCAACACCATATCAGTGATTTTATTTACACGTGTAGCTGGAGCCATTCTTCATTTGGTGTTACAGCTCCATCCACCCTACATCCATCCTACTCTGGTCATGTTATTATTATTCTTGTATACGGTCAGAACGGCCCAGGTAACAGTGTCCCATACCGCAGGAAGTTCTTGTCTCCGACAGCTCCTCTGATGTCCTCCAGTAGCTCCATAGTGGCATTCACAGCCAAATCAGCTGCCTTGTGGTGAAGTGAGCCATGACTAGACCCAACGTCATCCTTACTGATACCCCCCACTGGGTCCCGTTTGCTTGTCTTGTCAAATGAACCACCATGGCTGCATTTACCTTACAGCGGAGAGAATATTTGTGTTACGACAATATGTTCACAAAATACTAAGAGTGGAACACATAATAAATGTAAACGACTCCTTAAAGTTACCTGTAGGTTTTGCTGAGGAGAAGATGTTGAAGTAGCCCGATGTGAGAAGCCCCTGCTGCAGGAGGTCAGGCAGGAGGTTGTTGGCACAGTTCCCTCCTGTACAGTTTCTACAGGTTGGAGTACTTGGGTCTGCAGCAAATTCAGTGAATAAAATAAGATGAAACAGAATGCACAAACATAATGGTATGGGTAATTCACTTGCAAATACAGGTTAACATATCTAAAAAAAAAAATTTGAAGGAAGTTTTGCCTTACACAATATATTACTTTGAGACAGAGCAAATTATGTCTATATATGTAAATAATTCTATTCAGAGCCTGGAAAGCTGCTATGAATAAGTATCATTTAATGGTTCATTTGACATGATAAAAGGTACTAAACTGTAGACCTGTGTGGGTTTGTGTGTGTGCATGTAAAGCCATGTGAGTCGTAGCAGGGTGGGTGTTTGTTAAATGACAGGTGACAGATTAGGTGCCAGTGTTCCTTGTGTTATCGCTCACTGAAGTGCAGAGGCATTCTCACAAAACATCAGTTTTGTGAACAAGAGTTGCTGCTGAAACAGTGACTCTACACCCAGACGGCACTATCGATATCCTACCTGCCAGGTTCTCAAGAGGCTGGTCTGGTCTGATCAGAATGCTGTAAGGAGCATTGTTCCCCAGCTCCACCCAGTTACTGTGGCTGTAGAAGTCCTTAATATACAGAATATGAAACATTATTCACATCACCATGATTTATCATTATAATCATTCCAACACCATCCACCCAAAATGAAATTATAACAAAATAATCATCAACCTCACCTGTAAGGTGTGAAGGACTCGTCCGAGAGTCCATCTCCCTGCGACAAAATTCTCCAGCTTCACACTGGCCTTGACAGCAGACACACCTCAACAGCAGAGTCCCACAGAGAGAGTTAGGGGCAAACTGTAGCTGCACTAGGCAATATGCATGCTCTAAACTTAAAAGACATTTTTGCCTTTATTTGAAAGTTAACAGTGGAGAGGCAGACAGGAAATATGGGAGAGAGAAGTGGTACGACATGCGACAAAGGTCCCTCGCCAGAATCGAAGGAAGGACAACGCAGTTATGTTGCATTCACATTCTGCCACCAACACTTTAAACATTAAAAGGTAGAGTAAACAATTCTAATCTCATAAATTTTTTGGAAAAATTTACTGAACATCTCCTCATGGCTTGCTAACTTTCTGTTCTGTGTGTGTTCTGCAAAAAAATCTGATGTTCCTACACAGCCCTCGCTCTGTAAAGGGGATATAAACAAAATGGCTTGGACCTACAATTCCACCCACTGAGAAACAGGGAGTGTTTGTGCTTGTGCACAGCATAAGGGAAACAGGAAGAGAAGAGGTGAGATGGGGAAAAGGAGAAAGTGGGAACAAGAGATGCTAAATCTGGCACATGCTAATGGATAGTGCTAATTTAAGTATTACAAGGGGAAGGAGAATAAGCAGTGTACTCTTTTTGTGCTGCCTGACTGTGTGGAGTTTTGAATGGGACTGATTGGGATTGATTGGGGAAACAATGGTTTTGCTATGTTTCACAGAGCCAACAGGTCAGTATTGTTTTGTCCCGTTTGCTAATGTCTGGCCTCTGAAGAAACTCTGACGAGAGAGGTATGTTTGTTTCGCTGTTGGGTTCAGTCTTTCTCCAGCATCGCGCACTCCACCTTTAAGATATATATGTATGGGAAAGCAATGTTTGATGTGTACCTGCTGTGATGACATCCCGTCCTCCCTGGAAGGTCTCATCATCAAAATGGTGCTCCTCACTCAGGGCGTACACCACGTCCACTTTTGCATTGCTGAAGTACATATTGGCAATTGCAGTTTGGAACAAGACACTAGAGAGGAGAGATGTGGAAGTACCTGTAGAGGAACAGGCCCTTTGCACCATGTCAGCTGACAGGCTGTCATCAATCTGGAGACAAAGAAATGACAAATAGCCAACCACATGATGGGACATATGTAAGTGTAAAACACAAACACTGTATTCTTATTTTCCTGCCTGAAGGAGAGAAACTACTCAGAATGTGAGTGCAAAGGTTCAAATTATGTCAGTTGTTTTATTTTCAGATTGAGCCATTTATTTACATTTTTCAGCATTATGTCCAAGAAGATGACAATAGCTTAAAATGTGGAAACACTGTCCCGAAGTCATAGAATACAAATAAATCCAAAACATATAATGTATAATCTAGATATTAGAATACACCACAGTGCCCCCAGTCTCTCTGCTGCAGCGAGGCTTTCCAACTCACAGTCAGGCTGAAATCCCGTCCCTCAGAGGCAGCGATATCCCGGCAGACCTCGGCCGTCTTCCTGAGGACGGCCCGTTGTGTGATGTCACGGTGAGTGGTGGAATTTCCATCAAATGAGAAGAGTGGCTGGAAGCTGTGAATGAAGCCTGGCAGTGAGAGGACCACCACCACCATCAGGAGCATGACTGTCTGCCTGGCAGTCATGATGGAGGAAGAGCCGGAGGATGAAAAAGGTGAAGGGTAAAGAAGAAGTCTCTAAACCTGTCGCTACTGTCCTGTGTCCTCTATCTGCCCGTTTCAACTCTTTCCTTCACCTCGACTCCCCCTCTGTACAGCTATTTCCACACATCAACTGAACAGTAATAGAGGAATTCTGGTAAGTTACCTCCCCCACTGTGTGCAATAACTCCACAATGGGTTCCCTCAAACAGGAAACAATGTGGTCAAGCCCAGACAGGTTAGTGGCAGTAAACCAGGTGTAACGAGGCAACAAGTGGCAAATGAAAACACCTGAGAGAGAAAAAGACAAAATCAGCCCAGAAAGAAGGGTGGTGGTAGTGGTGGTGGTGGTGGTGGGGGGGGGTGAAGATTTTCAAAAATAAGATTAAAGAGAAATAGGTAACAATTGTGCTTCAGGACATCTTAATATTTTTGAATAGAACATCCTTTCACTGATTTTTAAATGCTAGTAGCCCACACTTTGTACTGAAACATCACTCAGTGAAATGTGAGAATCTGAACTGGTATAATATGTGTAAGATTGCTACTAATACATTTAATAATATACAGAAGATTGTAATTAATTCTACACACTCTTACCTCTGTGCGTGCTTTAGCCATCCAGCCTTATTCAGATGTTGGCACCGCCTCAGTCTCACTGTCTCACATCAGAACTCCATGTCTAGGTAGATTGTATTGTGTGTAGATCTATGCGTTTCCTGTGTGTTATCTCTACACTCTGGGAGTGTGTGTGTGTGTTTGTGTATGTGTTTCATTCCTTGTTCTTATAGTTATGTCCATCTTAAATGATTGAGTGGATGAATAGAATTCCACACGAGAACTCCCACACGCCCTTCTTTTTTTTTTTCTTTTTTTGTATGTGTACATGTTTGAGTAAGAACATGTGTGAGTGTGTGTTTTACTGTGTGTAACAAATCCCATTCCAAATAAGATTTTTTTTTTTTTTCCCAATCTCACATTTAACAAATAACTTTCCCCCCAAATCAAAAATTTTTACATGTCTCTTTGTGCAACGGTTAAACAAATGAGACTCACAGTTTTAAACAGTGACCTTAGAGGTGTTGTTACTTTGGAGAGTTTTAGACACAACCAGGCTAGCTGTATCCCCCAGCTTCCTGTCTTAAGCTAGGCCAAGTACCCCCTGGTTCTAGCTATACTTAACCCACAGCCGTGAGATCAATATAAATCTTGTGCAAAAGTGCAAGAAAGCATATTTCTGCTTTCTAGCTCAGTCACACGTGCTGACCTTTATAGTCTGCATCTTAAGACATGAACATTGTCTTGAACTGTTGACCCTGTGGAATACCTTGACAGTATCTCAAAGGATCTTATGATAACCCAAGAGGAGAAAAGGCTACATAAAATTAGATATCTACATTTATTAGTACTGGTTTTTGTTTGCATATAACAAATGGAAGTGGTGTTGATCTCTCACATCACTCTTGCAACACACCTGTCTTATTTTCTTTGGTATCATCAGCCCAATGTAGAAGTAAAGTACACTGATTGCCTGTGTTGCGTTGTCCTGACAGGCCTGAGACTGGCAAGAAACCGTGATTTATTAGAAGTAAAAAAAAAAAAAAAAAATGACAACACAAACTTGCATCAAACACAACATTCTGTCTCATGATGGTACTGAAATTTCAGTGCTGCGATAATCAGATTGGGATATAACTAATCCCAAATCAAAAATAAGACTCAGACAAATTCGTACATGTCATTACAAGCTCAGCTCACCTGTATACGTGCACAATAACACTTCAGAATCTGTGGGGTGTCACAATGTCAACCGCCAAAATCCTGCTCAACAGCATATTTCATGTTTAACCATTGTTTGACATATTTTCAATGTGTGTGTGACTCATTGTGCACAAACTAAAACAACATAGTTAAAAAGATAAACCGTCCTCTGTTCACGGCTGGTGTGCTGAACTAGCTGACATACCTTCAGCTCTTCACTCAATGCAGTTGTTGACACTTTAGAATGGAGCTGAATTTTTCCAACGGCGTCAAACTACATCAACGAGTGATTGTGAAATTTCAGAGCAGAATGTGTGTGTATGATTAACTCGTAGAGTCACATTCCTCAGTTTTCAATACACAGAGTTAAATGTTGGGTGAGCAGCAATGGAGGCCCAGTATTCATGTTAGATGATGTTTTGACCCATCACTAGGTGGTGCAGTAGGCATCCGGCTGTGTCGTCAATAATCTACAGGCAATACCATTCTCTAGCACTGACCTTATGTACCTTCACTTGGCAGCTTATCCTGGCCTTATATTTACATTTTTATCTTCTTAGGCTTAAGTACCTGGCTGGCCCAACTGGCCTGATAGACAGCTACAAAGTTATTTGAATTTGGGTGTCAGCAATTACTCTACTGACATACAGTATCTGTTCATTCAACTGATTTGATGGTCATATAAGGCTGGTGGTAGCAGCAGAGGCAGGGAGGACCCAAACACAGGCAGGCAGGTGCAGTGAAGTGGCTTTTAAGGTGAAACGGATCATGAATACTAAGGCTTACAAACAGATGGGCAGGCGGGTGGGCGAGCAGTACTGGCTGGGGTGAAACTGGGAAGAGATGAGTGAGTAGGTGATGAAGCTTAGGTGATTGAAAATAGAAAACAGGTGAGCAGGTGCATACTGAGACAAGATGAATGTGCGGGGACATCTGGTGGGCAGATGGAGAATGGCAGGAGACTGAAGCCAAAATAAACATGTCAGAGACAGGAATAATAAGAGTGTATGGTGGGCCAAGGGGAGAGTACAACAGATCCCAGAGATGAATCATGACACCTCCAAAAATATCTTTCCAGCTGAGATATATGACAACAAAGATCAGCAGTCCCTTGAAAAGAACAAGAGAAATAATGGCATAAGCAAATAAGGTTTTTCTCTGACGTGCTTGCCTCTTCAAAATCTATTATCGAGATTCGAGGTGAATTTGGTTCCATGTGAAATGTCTTTCCTGGAATGATAAGGGAAACCCCCTCAAAGCCTGGATGAGGGCTTTGCACAGGTTGGATGACACAGGTGTGCGATGGCAAGGATGCCTGTAACCTGTACATGTGCAAATTTATAATGTGGACTTTAATGTAAGTTTGTATACCTTCATTATCCATTCATTTACAATCAGCAGCACTTCTTTTACGCACACAATTTAGTCACTAGGAGGCTCGACCCAAGGTGCTGGTGTTTCCTCCAGAAACACACACACACACACACACCTCCTTGTCTACCTGAGCAGGTTTGTCCCATTTAGAGTAAGTACGAGTACTGAGCAAAACAAGTGTAAATAATAAACCGAATGTATCATCAGTTCAACCCTACGGTTTCATTTTCCTAAAATGTTTGTGGCTCCTATTGTAAAAATCATTATAGCATATCAAGCTCCAGTTGAACTAAATTCAAATAAAGATGTGACACTGCATATCACAGTTATTCCATGTTTGGTTTCCCAGTCGCAATCCTTTGAAAAAATAAACACATGAAAGATACACTTTTTTGTAACTTACAACATCCCGAGCAGCACTATGGTTAAGTATTATCTATCTGAGATGATAAACTGCCATCACAAGATCTTTTTTACAGTAAAAAACAATGACTTCTGTTTTAGTCTGTGCTTTTGTAACTTAATGACTTACCTTTGTTTGTTTTTACCTGAGCAACCCACCTAACAGGATGTACCGCATGCTACCACATGTAGAACCTCCCTCTGCCAATGCAAATAGTGATATGACAGAGCCAGTGTGAAGCAAGGTTTCATTCACAAATGACAAATAAACACACAGTGTGGGAAAATGCTGCAAACTAAGGAAAAGAAAAGCATTTTTAGTCAAGTAAAAGTAAAAACAGTTTCTTTTGTGAAATGGTTTTGCATCAACCATTAAATGCTCTTTAAATATCGCAGGCAAAGATAAGCTAGCTCTGGCACCTTTAAGCAGTCTGTCTGTGTGCTGTGGGCTGAGTGGTTGTACCTGTAAATCCTGTGTGTGAACTGGGACTTTCTTGCTGACACCGCATCTGCACTCTCCGCAATCAAGGAATATCATGCTGCTATTGAAAGCACTTTCCAAAGGAAAGGTAAGCCAGAACACTCGGATTTTATATATTGTAAGCAGAGAATATGAGGATGTTTACTGAAGGATCAGACAACAAGGAAATATTCTATGGTTACTGATTCCTGATCCAGCCACTGGCACTTTTTCTTTTACTTGCAGAATTAAATTTACAAACTGAGTAAATGTGCATGCACATATAACAATAATTATAAAATATATGATGGATAACCATGCTATTGAAGAGTTTTTCTGTTCAAATTTTTGTTTCCATTTAGATATGAAGTTTGGCAAAAGACCAGCATGTGGGCTGAAATCATTGAAAAACTGGGTGGCTCTTTGTGTGTTGATCGTGGTGGTGCTCCTGTTGTGTCATGACCCATTGCTAATAATCTGGTGGCCTCAGAAACCTGCTGAGGTGGGATGACAGCTTCTTTCTTTTAGATTCACTATATTACAACCCTTCTGTAACTGTTGATCCTACTCATAAAGTTTTTTCCTATCCATAACTGCAGAAAACTCAGAGTGAGGGTTTACCTCTGGATATGGCGACAGATTCCATTGATGACATGTTTGACGGATGCCGATCTGAAGCAGCCTCTATGATCGACCTATTTGGCGTGTTTGAGTGGCACTTCAACAGAAACTTCAGTTTTGCCTGGGCTTCAGCTGAAAGAGATGCAAAGAAACCTGCGTACAAGTTCCTGAAAGAAGACCACGCTATAGTCATGTACATGTACACAAAACTGAAACATATCCAAGAGGATTTCAACAAAGCAGTGAAAACAGGGAAACACAAGTACAGCACATACGGTTTCAAGTACCACTATTTCTACTTTTACCTGACCGATGCCATTCAAGTTCTGCGTCAGAATCAGACGTCGTGCAGAACCACCTATCACAGGACATGGAGACAGTTTAACCGCAATGTCGTCCACACGAACATGCGTTTTGGTGCCTTCACTTTGGCAGCTTCGACTAAGCCGGCATTTGATTTTAATGGCAATGTGTCTTGTTTTGAGATCTACACGTGCTTTGGTGCGGATGTGACATATTACTCTGCTACAAACCAAATGGGACAGGTGCTGATACCTCCCTATGAGGTTTTCAAAATCACCGATGTCCTAACAAATGACCCATGGTGCAGTGTGGTTTACAAGCTGGAGAGCACCAAAATACCAGCGAGAGATTTAAATTGCAAACTGCATCAATATCAAATAAAAAAATATTTTGGAGATGTTCCAACACACTGGCATAAAAACGATGTGGGGATGAGGATGTTAGTATATGTTCTACTGATGGTTATAGTTGCTTTAGTTCTTGTAATCCGTGGTAAGATGTGTTTTGTGGCTGCAGTGACGGGTGCTCTGCTGGTGCTGATTTTTATTGCGATGATAGTGAGAATTAGCCAGTGATTCAAAGATGGGAGACGAGGTCTTAATGGGACACATTCCCCCCCAAAAAAACAAAAAAAAAAACCCATCTTCCAAACAATAATACCATTTCAGATATTTGAAGCATTTTTGATTGTTTCCAGACTGGACTCTACATATTTACTGAGAAGTATTTGATGCACTATTCAAACAAATGAACTTGTATAAAACAAAGCTTCCTGTGGGATATTGTAATTTATCCTTGGGTCATATCAGTGGTATTAAAACTTTTCAAACATTTGCTAATAAACAATAAGTTGTTGTTTTTTCTAATTTTATTTTATTAAGAATTGAAAGAAGTCTTTTAAAAAAACACATAATGTATTACATGGACCCTCTCCATCTGCAGTGTTTATGTTTAAAATATTTTAGTATATTTGAATAATGCAGGACACTGATGGTTTGTCAAAGGTCAAAGATCCATATGTAAAAAAAGAAAAAAAAAAGAAAAAGAAATTACCCTGCATGTACACAGATTTTTTTTCTTTATTCCATGAGAGACTTTTTGTGAGTCAGTAGGGACATGTGTTGTAGATGAAAGAATGGAAGCACAAAGTAATGTTTTCATGCTTTCACCACACTGGTGAATTTTCCTACAATGGTAGACACTCTAAAGGTATTCATATCTCAGACTATATGGTCAACAAAGACTGCATCATTTCCAAAGCCACATACCTGTTGTATATAATTCATTAAAATCAAAGGGGGGTGGCTGGCATGTGTAGTCCTCGTGAAGGTTTCACCCCTGATTGGAATGACCTGCAGCTGGTGAAAAGACAAGCACGAGCTCAGAGCAGATATCCCTCAAGTATCATGACAGCAAGTGGGGAGTGAACTGTGGTAAGTGAACTAAAAGCCTTCATTTGTTCCCTTGATATTCCTAGAGTTTGATCAGACTGGAAATACCAGCTTACAACCACTTTTGTGTGCAGGTTTCTATGCTGGTGGAGGATGATGGGAGCTTGGGCAGCTGTGCTAATGACTTATAGCATCTCTATAGGGTTTGCAAAGGTAATGTATAAACTGGTTGGTGGCTTGCTTGAGTGTGATATCTGAGAGATTATTATATTATTATTATAGAAAATTATCACCATGTAAGATTTGTTTTTCTAATTGTTTCAATTATTTTTGTAGAATTCTGCAGAATCTGGGTTAAAAGGTCAAGTACCACTGGATCTGGCTCCAAATGCTGTTGATGACATGTACACTGGTTGCAAAGACAAGATGGACTACAGAGTGAAGAAGCAGTACCTGCCAAATGAGAAAAACAAGGACAAAAATTTCACACTTGCCAGTGGTGAAGCAGAGAAATATTACAACAAAAGATGGAAGCGTAGAAAAGGGAAGAGACCGTCCACGGCACTGGGGAAAGAACAGATCATGGCTATTTATGTTTATACCCTTGACAAACCAAATGTTTATCTTGATTTCAATAATGCTGTTCGAACCCAGAGATCCGTGTACACGACCACATTCAGCTATCACACGCTTCACTTTTTCCTGACTGACGCCCTTCAAACCCTCAACTCTCGGAAACCTGAAGTGGATAGATGTGTGACTGGCTACCGTAGAGTCAACAGCTACTTTAGCCAAGACGCTGTCAATAAGATGGTTCGCTTTGGATCTTTTACCTCCAGCTCACAGGGCTGGTACCCCAGCGCTGACAGATTTGGGGACAAGTCATGCTTTGAGATCCTCACATGCTTCGGAGCAGACATCTCGCTGTACTCTGAGCTCGGAGAGTCAGAAAGAGAAGTGCTGATTCCTCCTTATGAGGTCTTTAAAGTCGCAAAGATAGAGAGGAGATCTGTCCAGCGGAAGCTGCCATGTGAGGTGGTCTATAAACTGAAGAGTACACGCAAAACTCTTTCCAATTTGAACTGTGCTCTTTTCTGAAACAAGCAATTCTACGTTTTACTGTTACATACAGTTCACAAAACATGCAAAAACACTTAGGATGCACCATATTAGTTGATTAATTGAATAAGTTGACAAAATAAAATTCATTTTAAAAGTTGAACAGCCAGAGGTGCAGATGTTGTACTGCGCAACCAATGTTAGAATGAACCCACAGTGAGATAACTGAGTAACTGTTATGATGGATCTGTATTCATTAGGATATTACATTAGTTTTCAACCCAACATAGAGACAGCGCACTTTAGCAAAAGTTGAACACATCATGTACCGAAAAATATATCTGTAAGGTGAATTAGAAATAATAAATGACTTTAAAGAGTCTTTTAAGAGCCTGATAAAGTGTCTGCTAGTAACGCATTGCTGTCTTCTTTCATAAAACTGTAAATGAATATTTCTATCAAGAAAGTCGGTCATTGTATACAGTAATATTAATACATTGTATTGAGTTGCCCATGTCATCTGCATATAAATCTTCTTACAGTGTTATTGTACCAAAATATGCCATAAAATAAAAATAAAACATCCTGGTTTTTCACAAATTGCGCATGTTTGTCAAATGTGTTTATACTTTGTACACTGTCAAATCATCAAAATCCAAATGAGACAAGCTCTCAGTTAAACAGATGGCTCTTTTGAGTCACCTTCAGCTTTAAAGCAGTAGCAAGTTTTTTTTACCCCGGGTTTCACTGCTCTGGCAACACAACTGTTGTGGCAGTGTGCTGCCTGTGAGGACTGCAGACACTGCTCAGCACTGAATAAAGTCCCTCCACCTTCTCTGCACGAAGAAACTCTGACTTCATTCAAAATGAATCAGTTATTTGAACAGAAAATCCCAAGAATCTTGTTTGTAGAAAGGGAAAGAAACCTGTGTGCAACTTGTATGTTTTATAAACATGTTAAAATGTCCTCCTTGTTCTCTGACTCAGCTACATGCAAATCTTTAATCTCACACCGTATTACGATTTCCCTTCATTATGTTAAAGTGTGTTTTACTCTCTCAGTCACTGCAAACATAACTTCATTTACATAGCACTTTCAGAGCACAGCATGAATGTTAACAAAGAAACAAGGAACTTGGCAAAAAAGGCATGAGATAAAAATGAAATGGTTTGGTTGGTTAAAATATAAGTTGTGCTAACTGTCCCTTTGTGCCTAATGGTCTAAACGTAATTTTGAACTGATAACACATTTCAAATCAAAAACGTAGGCATTAGGTCTGTTTGGGGTTTCAGAGACCACAGCTGTTAACGTGGTTACATGCAATGGACTATCATTTTGTACAGGACAACAGGACTCCTGTGACTCCTGCTCTGGTCGCTATCAGCCACACAACATAGCTGTTGGTCGGCAGACTCAGGACGAGATTGTTTGAGGTGGAGGCGAGGGCTAAAATGGCAGTGTCAGACAGTAAAGATCCATTTGACGAATTCATTTTCCCCTTCAGTCTTTCAGGGTCAAGTCCTCCACTCAGGATCCGATTAAGAGGATGAACAGAAAAACAGAAGGTCGGCATCACAATGTTATCAATTCCACCGTCAGAACTGAACCCAGAACATAATTAGGATGAATTATAAAGTATAACTATAAAAACTGTAAATTAACGATGTACTATATTAAGTTTTAACAGAACTCACTACAGTTTTTTTTTTCTGTCCTCTTTGAATAATCATATCAGATGCAAAGTCCTCATATCTGTGATGCGTCACATGCTCAACTGCAGTTCTCTTGTGACCAAACATGCAAACGACGCTCAGATACCTGCAGCTAATGACTCAAGACTGACCAAATTTTGAATGCTTCAAAGCCAGCGGCTATTTTCAGTGATGGGAGTTGCTCATGCAAAGTTTGTATGCTGGTTCGTGTGCTGGTATTCAATAAAAAGAATGTGTAACTACAAAGTCTTTGTGGGTACAGTGTAAACACAAGCCCAAAATGAACTCGATAGTTACTCAAGGCAACAAAAACATGATTTATTCGTCTTAGCACGTATCTTACTTTTTTCCAAAATGACAACAATGTGATTTGACTTTCATTATGTACAACCCATTAACCTCAGTAATAACATCTTGATAGAGTGCTGCAGAAATGTGTCCTGAAACCTGAAAATTAGTTAGCATGTTAGCACACCTGGTTCCCTCGTCCCGAAATCTGAGTTTTTTTGAATGGGTTTTTGGTTACATGACTGAAATAAGGTCTATGGTTAACACAAGCTCAAGACAATTTCATGTTTTAATGTATTACATAAAATACATCAGTAAATACCCCAGTCGTGATTTCTTTTAATTTTTTATGTTGTAAAAAAGGGCCAGTTGCTAACAAGTGGCTCAGTAAAACTACGGAGGCTGTTGGGGATGTTAAAAGACATCAATACGAAAACCTGCAGAACATTTTGACAGCCTTGTTGTGTTTATGTTCACACTTTTGCAAACTACTACTGACTTTGTAAGAGGAAGAGGAAAGAGGCTTTTGTAGGAGAGGTAAATCAAACTACAAGTTGGAAGTTTAGTAGTGGTGATGTTGAAGTCCACGAGAGCATGTGACCATGGTGTAGTTTGACTATAGTCTAACATTTTCTTTTTACCTCTGGTGATTGTATTTAGGCTTCAAAGATCATACAAGTGGCGTTCATTTGTGAATGAGTGCAAGAAGTCGTGTAGCCTGTACATGCAGTAAGGCAGAAAGTGAAGTGTTTGGATTGGTGGATGGACAGATAGCACATCAGACTTACATGAAGGAGACTTGAGTTTATGTCCAATCTAGCAATTAACATCATATTTTACTTTTACCATTTAACCATAGAGACAAACACTGGAATGGATGTAAAAACAAAACAAACAAAAAACAAACAAACAAACAAAAAAGCAACAACAATAACAATGGTTGGGGATACAGTTGACAATCTATTCAGACTCACCTTGTGGACATAGTCTCTCAGTATTCTCTCACAGCAGTAACCTTTTGCTGCAGGGCTGTTGTATTGGCTCTAATGGGAACTATCAGCTCAATAATAATCCCTCACACTCATCAGACCCAAATAAAATGCACAAGTGAAGTCTTCTCCATCATCATCACATGATTCAGCAAACATTAAAATAAATAAATAGCATTGAAATCTTGTAAAAGAAATTTAATTTAAAAGATTTATTACTCTGTTTACTTGTCACAAACAATGAAAAATTACAACATGGAAAGAAAGAAAGGGTTAGGGTTAGATGTCAGCATGACAATCGAGTAGAATCAAGCAAGAATGTGTGTGAATACATTATCAATTGCTGATTGACATCATTGAGGTCTTAATCCAAAAATAAAAACAACACAAGAAATATGGTGGATTGTTCAGGCAAATTTGTGCTTCGCAATGTAAATGTAAATCTAAACTAGAAACACCCAAAACAAGAAAACACTACAGCATGTTGTACTGTTGCACAATATAAAGCACATATACATATATTTATGCATTATTGAAGATGTTGATAATTATAATGATAATCAGAGCTCCCTGAAGCAGGTGAGTTTTCCAGCCCTGTGGAGGTAGAGGATGGGCTGTATAAACCCAGTTAATAAAGCTAAGCCTATGCAAATGGTTAAGGCACTGGTAAACTCAACAGAGTTAAAGCAACATTGTAGTGGAACAGCAGCCACATACAAAAAGAAATTAATGGCCATGAAAATCATGATTAGCGAAATGATTGTAAAGGCCCTTCTCTTCATCGCATTGCACTTCTTCCTCTCTCTGTCTTTTTCTCCTGGCCCCGGGCGTTTCAGAGCCCTGAGAACTGAGAGGCAGCAGAAAAGCATCACAAGGAAGAAGAGCAAATTCTGAGTGAAAAACCCATAAAGATACACAGGGTTTGAATATGTGTACATGGAATAGATACAGGAAGTCAGGGTAATCAGCCAGGCAACACAGCCACAGGCCACCCTGTATCTCAGGGGTTTATACCGAAGAAAAACCACAGGGTGGACAACCCCAACATAGTACTCAACACAGATGCAGCACTGGAAGAGAGGACGAGCTGTATAGAGAATGCCAAGTGAAAACATGAAGACTTCAAAACAGAAAAATAAATTAAACTCAACATAAACTAAATAGCATATGCTTAATATAGAGAGAGCGATCTCAGCCATGGCCAGGTTGAAAGAGAAGAAGTCTGACGTCCCTGTGGCTCCTGCCGATATCATCCATATGATGTAACCATTCAAAGGAAGAGCCAGGATGCAGTTGACTGAAAGTGAAGCCATGGTTAAAGCCACACTGTGAGAATCAAGAATAGAGGGCTGGGCTGACGAACCATTCACTGCAAAGGCGGTGTTCATTTTGAGTCTGGAAAGAACAACAAACATTCACAGCAATTTAAGAAGTAATACACAGTGATAGCATAAAAAAAAAGTCATCAACATGTGCTAAGATAACTCTTTTTAATTTAAAGCTACACAGCTGCAGATCCAAACCTGGTGTGGAAGTTTGCAGTGTCTGGAGTTCTGGTCGGGCAGCAGTGAAGTGATGATTGGAACTGACATGGAAATATCCCTGCATGGTCTTATTACTTGTTTTTTTTTTTTTACTGTTGACATAATCAAATACACTCTCAAAACAATCACTAAACAGGATGCAAAATGGAAATTTTGTGAGTTAGGGCTCAACAACTTGGAAACATATTTCCAAACTGTGCCCCGCCTTTTACCCCATCTGCTGGGAGAGATGACAGCCTCAGCAAGTTACTGTCAATTCAACTCACTTTGCCAAAATCATATTTTCCTCATACCTAGTGTTACTTGAGATATTTTTAGTTTTATGTTAAATATTATTTTTCCCTGATATAAGTCTTGAGCTTTGAGTTTTTAAGTATTCATTGTGCTTGTCTCATGAGCATTTAGCCTTCTACCTACCCTTATCTGTGTCTGGAGTAAACTCAAGTTTATTTCCCATGAAAATATGTATATCCTCATTATTTTAGGAATACTGCTCACAGCATGATGCACTGTATGCTTTAACTTGTTTGTGGATTAACTGTTGATGGCTTAAATTGTGGTTTATAATAAAACAGCATCTTTAATATTTTACATTCAGTATGTTTGTATAACATTATATATGTCATTTACACCGTGAACTTACACTTACAATCTATATTTTGGATGCAGAAAATAAAGCAGAAGGAAGAATAGAATAGAGAGCTTCATACATATAAAATGTGACTCCAATTTCATTATATACTTATTGTTACGTGCCAGACAAAGGGAGGCCAGACCCAGATGCAGAGTAAATTCAAAAAACTGGTTTATTTAACAAAGTAGCAACAAAAAACCACTTCAGAAGGGATAAACGTAAAGTACCAAACAAAATATCAAAAAAGTACCAACACAAAACGTAGAACAGAAAATCACCATACAAATGGGAAAAAAGCACAAGGTCAAAGTACAACAGAAAATAGTGTCAAGGCACCAAAAACTCACTAGACTAAAAGGAATTCACAAGAAGGACTTCGCGTGGCGAGAGGCAGGAGATCAACGGGAGCGCGAGGGACAAGCAGAAGCAAAGAGAATAATCCGGCACTGGGGACAAGGAGAGTGTGTTTTAAGAAGGGTGCTGATTAGGCCGAACGAGCTGCAGGTGTGCCGGTGGAAGAGAGCTCCCGGAGATCGCCCCGCCTCTCGGCACTCACAAGGGGAGAGAGAAGTCAATCAGGAGCAAAAACTAACCAACGCAGAAAAAAACTGGCTCTACAGTATAGGCCGGATGGCCGTCGATGAGGCGTGGGGCAGGCGGTGGTGGTGCAGGAGGCTGAAGGGGGCTTTCTGTGACCGGTTTGAGGAGGGAGACGTGAAACACTGGGTGGACGTTCAGGGAGGCAGGGAGGCGGAGCCGGGGGTTGACAATTTTCTCCACCGGGCCCAATGTACCTGGGGGCGAGTTTTCGGGACTCAGTCTGATGGGGAAGGTGTCAGGAGGACAGCCACACTTGCTGGCCCACCTGGTAGGTGGGTGCGGGGACCCGATGTCGGTCCGCCAGTAGTCGGTTCCGCTCAGCCGTTCTCCCGTAGCGCTGCTCTGGTCTCCCGCCACACACGTCTAACCCGGCGGAACTGTGCCTGGACTGAGGGGACCGCTGCGTCGGTTTCTTGACTGGGAAACAAGGGGGGCTGGTAACCGGTGTTGATCATGAAGGGAGACAAGCCGGTGGCGGAGCTGATGAGAGTTGTGGGCGTACTCAACCCAGGGTAGATGTGTGGCCCAGGAGGACGGGAGGCGGGAGGCAACGCAGCGCAGGGAGGACTCCAGGCTCTGGTTGGCCCGTTCAGTCTGACCGTTGGACTGCGGGTGATAGCCTGAAGAGAGACTGGAGGTGGTCCCAAGGGCTCGACAGAAAGCCTTCCACACCTGCGAGGTGAACTGGAGTCCCCGGTCAGACACGATGTCCTGGGGACTTCCATGCCAACCAACAAAGTAGCTGTTTCCAAGGCGGTGGGGAGTTTAGGGAGGGGGACAAAATGAACCGCCTTGGAAAAACGGTCGACCACAGTAAGTATCGCGTCGTTAACTTCGGAGGGGGGTAGTCCAGTGACAAATGCTTTACTGAACACTTGTTGCAGATCATGGTAATCCGGGGGTACATTAGTCAAATCTATTACCTCGGGCTGGCTGGCAAGGCGGAGCGGAGGCAGTGGGCGTGACAGTGGAGACTCCAGTTGCGTATGGTGGCTGTGGACCAATCGACATGGGGATTGTGGAGCTTGTGTCACACGGGTAAATTGTGACTATGGTTTTTTCATGGCCTTAGTGTACGGCATGTTTTAGTTAGCGTATTTATGATTTTAGTGTGGAGTGTTGCACGAATTATCGATTTTATTGCATGTTGCATGTTTTTATTGTGAGCTGTGTTGCTGTGCTTTTATTGTTGAAACCCTTTACTCGGTGGTGACTTCCCCTCCACTGTTAATTACCCGCACCTGTGAGGTGTGATTGGGCGGACTCAAAAGGACAGCGGGACTGGCAGGAAGGGGGAGCGAGGAAGCAGGAACAAAGGGAGAAGGAGAGAACAGCGGCAGCAGACCGACACGCGATGCCAGTAATCGCCACCGACAGAAGTCACGGCAACCTGACGAGTGATAAGACGAGGGCCTGACGGTGAAAACGGGCAGAGTGTGACTCTGCCCTGCCGTGTGAGTAGCGGTTCCGGGCTGCAAGAGTGATTCACTTGACTCTGCGTGCGTGTGTTTAAAAGTGCAGTGACTGCCGCCTTACCTCCCCACAGCCGCGGAAGCAGTGAGGAGGAGCAGCCGTAACCGGAGGGGTGCGACGCCGGTAGCTGCCAGTGGACGGAGAAGCTGAGTGACTACAGGAGGGATCCACGCTTCTCTACGGACAGCCGGAGCCGCTCCCGCCGGCATCCGGCACTTGTGCTGCGGTCCTCTTCCCTCCACAGATAAGACTCTCGAACTGATTTTATAGTTTTAGCTAGCCCCTATTTTAGCTCATTTCATTAGCCCTTAGTTTTACCCTTTTTATTGACTTTACCCTGTGATTTTACTCCCGATCTTATTCGTTGAATAAAAATCAGTATAGATGCTCCTTCAGCTTCTGTCTGCTTCTTGGTTTTAGCAACTGCTCTCTGCCTGGTTTTAAATTACATTGTTACTTTTAAAATTTTTATTCAACCACAGAGCCTAACCCCCCCCCCCCACCCCTCACACTTCACACTTCAGCCAAGGGATTCCCAGAATGACTGAATTAAGAGGAGATGAGATAATATACAGTTCGATGTGCTCATGATGGTTGCTGGAGAGTATTAGTTTCAGTGGTTCAGTTTTATGTGTGACCAGTTCTAATAACTGGCCATCAACGGCATGTACTTCCTTGGGAGAAGGTAGTTCATAAGTAGGTAGGTTATGAGTTTTAACAAAGTCTCTGTTGATAAGGTTGTCATCGGCTCCAGAGTCCACCAGCACCTGGACCGGAACCGAGTGTTTGAGCCCGTGTATCATTCCTGGTACTTGGATTCTTGAGGCGGAGGATGAAGAGATTCGGTTCACCAGAGACCTCCGTCTTACTGGTGAGCCCGGCCTTTTGGTACCTCTGGACAGCTGGACAGGAAGTGGCCCCGTTGGCCGCAGTATAGGCACAGCTTGTCGCGCATCCTGCGCTGTCTCGCCCTAGTTGCATGGGCTCGTCGGCAGGTGGCGGTCGAGACTCGTGAACAGCGTGGATGGTGTCCGGAAGCCTCGAGTTGGGATCTGGAGCCGGAGAGGCGCCGTCCTTTCTTCGTCTCCAGACGCTCCCTAAGTCTTTCCCTCATCGTATTATCAAGGCGGATGGCTAGATCAATAAGAATTGAGCGAACTGCACTCCTCCCGTACCGCCAGTTCGCCTTTTAAATCCCCAGCCAATCCCTTAAAAACTATTGCCTGAAGCCCTGAATCTCCCCACCCACTCTCAGCCGCTAAAATGCGGAAATCAACCGCATATTCTGAAACGGAAAGACAACCCTGTTGTAGGTCGAGTAACTGGCTAACAGCCTGTCTACCCTTTACCGGGTGATCGAAAACCCGTCTCATCTCATCAGTGAATTGGTGGTAATCATTAGTTAACTCACGTTGTTGTGAGGAAATAGCTAAGGGCCAGGCTGCCGCCTGCCCGGTGAGCAAACTCATGACAAAAGCTACTTTGGCTTGAGGAGTGGCATATGTGTGAGGTTGTTGGCTGAAGACTAAACTGCACTGGTGTAGGAATTGTGAGCAGGTCCCTAAATCACCAGAGTACCTCGCTGGTATGGGGATATACGGCTCTCGTCGAATTCACAAGAAGGACTTCGCGTGGCGAGAGGCAGGAGATCAACGGGAGCGCGAGGGACAAGCAGAAGCAAAGAGAATAATCCGGCACTGGGGACAAGGAGAGTGTGTTTTAAGAAGGGTGCTGATTAGGCCGAACGAGCTGCAGGTGTGCCGGTGGAAGAGAGCTCCCGGAGATCGCCCCGCCTCTCGGCACTCACACTGCAGGAAGGGGAGAGAGAAGTCAATCAGGAGCAAAAACTAACCAACGCAGAAAAAACCAGACCACAACACTTATAGTCCATATTCATATTTTATGTGAGGATTGTTGCTATAAAAAACATTTTTTGCCGTTTTTTTTTTTTTTTTTTTTTTTTTTTTTTAAATCTACAGTGTTTCATTTATTCTACACTTAGGGTTGCAGTAATGCACATTTACTTTCTACTCATTTGGCAGATGCTTTTATCCAAAGCGACTTACAAGTGAGAGACATCACTAAAGCTTCAGTGCAGGAGACCTTGGTGTAAGTACTAAGCACAATCTATTCAACAACTGCAAGGAGATCAGGTACTGAAAGTGCATAGTAATTGCTAGTTAGCACATGTAAAGCAGCGCTTCATCTTAGAGTCATTACAAGAGCATGGAAGACAATTAATTACATTTGAAATGTAATATGAAAGATAATATTTATTATGTGAGCCTGAGTTCTTTCAAAAGCTGGAGGCTGTTAAGGCAGAAGTGGGCAGCTCTGCAGGACACACATTCAAAAAAAAATGTAACATAACTGTACATATAAACAAATGTACTTGCTATTTATCTACAGATAATTATTAGATTATCACTGGCAGTGGCAGGATTACATCAATATATGCATAATATTGCATGAAATAAACACATTGGCATAGATCTAAAATAATGGCCTTGAAATTACATTTAGAGACATTATCACCATATTACAGGAACATACGGGTATTGTCACAACAATAAAATAATCTGTGCAAGAAAGGGTTTAAAATTCTTTTTTTTTTTTTTACAGATAATAAATTGTACTTCACAGTCAATATTTAGTACTTGCGCTTCTACAGCTCCTCAGTGTTTTAAATCTCAGTAAGGTCTGGGACTCTGCTTCAGCTGGCACAGGGTAACTGAGGAGCCCACACCAAAACCAGCATACAAAGGCTCACTGAACTGAGCTTTGAAACTGTGGATAAGCTCCATAGTCTCTGAAACTGAGTAAAAGGCCACAGTGTTGCCTGCATAGTCCAGGTACACACCAATTCTTGTAGCCCGTGGAGCATCAGGAAGCTCTCGGTCTGTTTTGTTGTGCCAGACAGAGTAACCTGACTCTGAGCAGAGGAGACTCCAAGACTTGTCGTTGTAGCCCAGCAGACTATGCGAATTCTTCCCCTTGCGACTGATGCTCTTGTAGGCCACCCCGATGGAAAACTCCCCGCCCCACTCTGCCTCCCAGTAAAATCTGAAACCAGTAAGAGGCTCCTTGCACAGCACCTGGGAGAAGCCATCAAAGCGTTCTGGGTGATCTTGGTAAAACTGGACTGTTTTCTTCCGCGTGACCTTCTGGTTCCCGTCCGACAGAACCAGCTCTTTATAGACTGTGTTTGGATCGAAGGACATCTTACAGGAATCTGAGTGAAAACAGCCACAATACGCATTTCTTAATCATTTACTTTTAGATGACGAGCATCTTAGTGATCCAGAGAGAAACCATCATTCATACCTACATATTGTTGTTCTCAAAGGAGAGCAAATGCAAGTAGACACTTTATTTGGGATAACACTGATATGCATCAAATGTACTGAAACAAACTGTTTACTCACATCTCAAGAAGTCTGTTCTTATTTTTGGCTCCTGAAAATCCACTCTGGAAGGAACTATTTGGATATTTAAAAAAAAAAAAACAAGGATATTATTTTGTGATAAGTTTCATTTTATAGTTTATTTTTAAATGATCTAAAGTCAATTACATAGTTACATAAATCAAATGAGGGGACTGTGAAACACTTACTATCAACATATTCCTTGTTCTCTTTCCAAAAGTAAAATCAAATCTATCTAATCAATAATCTTGCGTGTTTAACAGTAAAGTATACATTTCAGATGATAGACACTTACCTTTCAGTCGTTTGTCTCCATTTCTTGGCAGAAGTATGTACACAGGGGTTTCACTGACTGTGAAGATGGTGCAGCATTAGTTTGGCCACCTACAGGCCCACAGATCTTTGGTTTTCACATTAAAAAGATTACTTATGAATATTATCAACTAGAACAAACCTGTCTTGGAGATTTTGCTCAGTTCTTTCTTACAGATGTCATCTAGATGTTCCTTCATCTCTGTGGCAGTCTTGCTCATCTCTCCAAAGGAGAACTGAGGGTTGATGAGCACTTTGGGCACCATGGCCTCGGGAGGAACACACAGGGTTGGAAAATTCTGTTCAAAAACAAACCAACAACTTCCATAATCCAGCCATATAGTCAGAAACACAATCTGAGAGGTGGCATCGTCCGGCTGAAAGATCATAAGGCGGTAGTATCGTCCTGCCTGACTGAGCTCCACAGTCATTGTGTAATATTCAGCATGTGATGTGATGATGTGACAAGATTAATGCTGATCCTGCTACTCCTTTTATAATGTGGAAAAACTGTATTATTGTATTTGCTGGTACTATACAACTGTCTTGTCAGCTTAAATGAGAAAAGTCACCCTCATCCTTGTGTCTAATGTGTAAACATCTCTACCTGTAATTGGGTAACAAGTTAACTGCAAACTACCCTCTGTACAGCAGTGTGTATTCATCCTGAAAAAGCCTGAAAAAGCTTGATCTGCTGCATCTGTCATACTTTAAAATTTTTTTTGGTATGAATGCATAACAGAGCACCAAGGTCAGTGCACGTGTAAATTTCCAAAAAGACAATATGCAGATTTTTCTTGCAGCTCTGTATGATCTTCCAGCACCTGCAGAAAGTGGATGTTGTCCTCTGTCTCAAGGATCTGCCGTAGCTCTGCGTCTCTGCGCTGTAGCTCCAGTATCTCCTGCTCCAGACGCTCCACGTAGCCCTCAGCCTGCGACATCGCTGCCTGCATGTTGGCCGTTATCATCTGATTGATTTCAGCCTTCCAGCGCTCCACCGCCTGGAGCATTTCGTGGAAGGTCTTATCACTTTCTGCCTGTGCTCGCTGGGCAGCACTCTGAAAAGTAAAGTCAGTTTATAAGGATGCTTTAGGTTTAAAATATATTGTATATTGTGCCATATAGACAACAACCAATTCAATTTTAGTAGAAATGCATACATTTATGTTTGATTAGGCTATGTCTGTTCTTACTTTGAGAACATCCACATTATGCTTGAGCTCCTGCAGCTCCTTCATCCTCTCCTGGATGATGTGCTGCACTTCAGACTGGGTGACCACCAGGACTTTCTGATGGAAGGACACTCAGGTCAGAAGACACGCTTTAATCAATCACAGTGACTCAGGAGAACAAGATGCACTTTTAGTCTGTGACATCAATTTGGATCCAGTTTCTGTTTGAGACACTCAAAATCAGAGTCACACATACTGCATAGCAGGCTACTGAAAGTTTAGACTCACTTGTTTCTCGACGCGCTCTTCTTCTGCTGAGGTGATGTTGTGGCTGCGGTGCTCTCTGACAGTACACAGCACACAGATACACATCTGGTCAGAGCGACAGAACAGCTCCAGGCCTTTTTCATGCTGGGGGCAGATCTTCCTGTCCAGGTGACCCGTCTCATCCACCAACTTGTGTCTCTTGAAGGTAGATGACTCATAATGAGGCTTGACGTGTGTTTCACAGTAGTAAGCCAAGCACATGAGGCACGACTTGACGGCCTTGTTGCGACGGCCGACGCAGAAGTCGCAGAAGGATTCCCGATGCATGTAGGGGAAAGGAGTGAGCTCCGGAAGCTGGCGCCGTGGCTCGTGGTTTACGTCTGGCAGGTTACGTCTCAGCGCAGGCCGTGGGGTGAAAGTTGCGCGGCATTGCGGGCAGCTGTACACACCCATGTGGTCAAACTGGTCCCAGTAGACCTTGATGCACTCTAGGCAGTAGGTGTCACCGCAGGGGATGGTGACCGGGTCTCTCAGTGTGTCCACACACAGCGGACAGAAAGCATCTGGTGGTAAAGGGAAACCAGACTCAGCCATGACAAATTATAGTAAGTCAAATAATACTTAAATATAATAATAGTGAGTGAAATGCTGCCAAGTTCAGAGAGAGTGCAAGGCTCCTGTCCACAAGCTCCTGCGATCCTACACCTGCTTTTCAAACCAGAGACAATGCTGCTGTCTATTGATATTTAAAGGGAAGGCTTTGTTTCTACTATAAGCAAACGGGTGATGTCTTCCCACAGAACCTCTTGTTCCAGCATCTGAGTGAAAGTACTGAGGTCTGCAACCGTGACTGAATCTGCTTACAAAGCAGGAATTTCACCTCAACTCCCACAGCAAAGGTCAAGTCGTCCAGCAAATAACAGCTAATGCCAGCCACCACCGCCTGCGTTAAATAACCATGGTACTGCTATTTAACTGAGTTGATCCTTAGATACTGTCTGCTGTCTGTGTCAGCATTAACATATTTGTACAATACAAGTTTCATCATGACATGTAGTGTCAACACAGGCTGTTTGCCAGTTGAATAACACAGCACCTCAGAGAAGCCATCAAAACTGTCTAATGTTGTTTTAGATTAATAAACCCCTAAAAACCAACATTTTTCATGGGTGAGGACTGCACTGGTTAGTATTTCCAAAGAGGGAAACACATCGTCCTTCAGCTTTCCATTTGACCTATCAGTGAGTTTCATGATGGTGCATGATGTCAAAACAACTTGTTCTGTTTGTCTTGTGAACAAAGAGTACAGTGCATCAGTATCAGTGTGTGGTTTCCCACAGGAGTAGGCTACATTTGAAACCTGAAAAACAATGCAAGGTGAAAGCAGGGTCCTGCATGTTTGATATGGATCTGCTGAGTTGGAGCACTGATACAGACATTTATAGATGGTCAATTAATTAAGATTAGTCAATTAATCAATCACCATAAAATTAATCAATTAATCGTTTGTATTGTTTTAGTTCCAACCTTCTCTGGTTCCAGCTTCTCTGGTGTGAGGATATATTGCTTTTCTCTTTTTTATATAATTATCAATTGAACAATAATATTAATAATTTGGTCTGTTGGTTGACAACAGAAGCAACTGGACACATCACCTTGGGCTCTGGTAACCTGTAAAAGATGTTTTTTCAACTTTTTAAATTTTTTTTTTAACTTTATAGACAAATCAAATAATCGATTACCTGAGAAAATATTTGGCAGATCAATAATTTCATCATTGTTGCCCTTTTGTAAGTTCTTCGAACAGCATTTCAATAACTTAATTTCAGCGTGTATAGCAGGTGCTGCAGCGAGATGGTGGTGAAAAAGTCATTTTGTGTGATATTTTCAAATCAAAGAGTTTTAACCTTAACGTCTACTCTGGACGTCTTTGGATCTGCAACTCACTAAAAATCAAGTGTTTCAGTCAGTCAGTCGGTCGGTCAGTCAGTCAGTCGGTCAGGGACATACCAGATTATAAGACAGATTTCAAGATTTTAATAGTTTTTCTGTTTTTCTACAGGATGCAAAAAGACAAAACATTATTTATTGATACAGTTTGCTCACATACCTGTGGACTGTCAGTGTCAGATGTGTCATTTGATTCACTACAAAATGAATGAGAAATTTATAAGACTGTCGTCTATCGTCTGTTACTTTTAGACTGATAAACTTTTTTGCAAATTTAAAATCTTAGTTTTCCTGATACAGATATTTTCCACATAATGTGTGTGTGCGTGTGTGTGTGTGTGTATCCTGCTGGGAGTGGTGACCTGGTTCCTGCTTTCACCCAAACACTTGTGCACCTGAGGTTCATCTTTAATTAACGCTCCCCCAACTGTAGTGTTTAACCACCGGCTTTTGTAGTAACTCGGACTTTCAGCAGTTTCCAGTAACACAGCTTCCTTCCCTACCCAGCATTCACCGTCTGCCATCTGCCCTCCACCATTTATTCAAGACCTGCCGGCTCCATCCATATTCAAAAAATATTTTGCCAGGTGGAACTACACTGGTGTCAGTTTCAGTTTAGCCCACTAAATCTGTTTGTTCCCACATCTTAAGTGGAGAGTATAATTTTTAATTGTTGATCAAGGTCCCTCACGCCCCAATGCAGGCTCCCACTCCCTGTGTGGCGAGCAGGGAGTGTGTATGAAGGATGGTATTATTTAACTGATATAATACAACATTAAATTAAAATAAAGCCAATAGGAAAATTAAATTCAAAATAAACTAAATGAATTGAATCACCAAATAATTACAAAAACACAGAAAAAAACTGATCTCACTCTCATCAGAGTTTACAGTGTGAGACATGGTCCTGCTCTGTGATATGCAGTTTGACAGATATGAAGCTGTGAGATGGGATTATGTTTCTTGTAATGTGTCAGCTTTATTCTGTCAGTGCTCTTTGTCCTTTGAAGGGCTGCTCTCATCTTTGTCCAGACAGAAGTGCTCTTGTGACAATGACAGTCAGAGAGAGAGAAAGAGAGAGGGCAAGAGGCTGGGACAGTGATGGAGAGTGGGCATAGCAAGTAGCTGTGAGCGGAGTTTAGTGTTGCAGAGGGGAGAAAGGAGAATAACAGTCTTTATTTATGTAGCATCTTCCCCAAAACAAGGTTTTGTGAAACATATAAACATATAATCTCCCCCAAACAAATTGCACAGGGAGACGAGAAGCTAATGAGACTGAATAGACACAAGAGAGGCTGAGTACCCATGATGTCATTGACTGTGCCGGTTGGTACTCTCTCCCCCCTCCCTTCTTCTTTCCTCTCTCCCCCTGCCTCTCTGCCTGCCTCTCTGCATCTCTCCATCTCTGTCGTCACTGTGAGAGAGCCTGGGAGTGGCCGGAAGGAGGAGAGCCAGACGAGAAACAAGAAGAAAGAGGAGGAGTAGGACGAAGAAATCGAGCACCTGTACACGAATCAGGATTTTTTGGAATATTTTCAAAGCATCCTTCCATTTACAGCAGCAGGTACATTTTAATTTCTGATGATTTTGGCATTGGTACCCATAGTGATGCAGCAAAGGGGCAATGGAGAGTCTTAGCAGCAGAAAACAAGGCTGAGGATTAGATATTTAACAGTTACCATGGCTAAATGTCTTTGTTTATGCTCCAATGATGACAATTCATTTAGAATATTTATGTGGACATAAAATAGACATAATGACATAATTTTAGATCCAGGAATAACCTTTTTTTTTCCTATTCCTTTCCAAAGGAATAGGAAATTGAAAGTAAGCTGGTACTCTAAAAGATTTTATTCTCTAGTTTTTTCTCTTACAAATCACATTGTTATGTCACAGTTTATTATAACATTACTGAATGTACATCCTGATTTCCATCAGCTTGATCAGCAGTAACAATTACGACAAGTGATGGATAAGTTTGTGTTTGTGTGTGCACGCGTGTGTGTGAAAGAGAGTGAGTGAGAGAGGAGAAGAAGAGAAAGAGAAGGAGCGTGTTTGTTCAGTCACTTTAGACAGAACAGCAGAGCAGCCATTTGGAAATGGAGTTGATTGAATTAAACTGGAGTAGCTTGAGTAACACTAACAGAACAGTGATGGATGTGAAAGTCTGTATCTGCATGAAGTGTTTGTGTGTGTGTATGTGTGTGTGTGTGTGTGTGTGAGAGAGAGAGAGAGCGAGAGAGAGAGAGAGAGAGAGAGAGAGAAATAAATGTTTGTACTTACACTATCCATCATGGCAGCCACTACTTCTTGGCAGGCAAGAAGTCAATCAGCTAATAGAGTCATTATGAATTTCTTCAATTTCACTAGAAAGGATACAAGGATAGAAAAATGAACATCATCCGAAGTAAGGACATTTTGTCATCACTTTTCCGAATGGCAATTGTGAGTTTAGGACAATACAGCCAACTATTATACTGCATCATTAAACATGATCCGTTTGTGTCTGTGTGTGAGCCTGTGACAACAGTCCCTGAATCCTATAATGTTTGTGTGTATTCTGCATGTTGATCTGTCAGCATGGCTGAGGGCTCAGTGTCTGTGGCGGAGGTGGAGACCTGCTTCCAGAAGTTTGCAGTCCATGGGGACACCAAGGCCACAGGGAAGGAAATGAATGGCAAGAACTTTGCTAAGCTCTGCAAGGACTGCCACATCATCGATGGCAAGAACGTCACCACCACCGATGTTGACATAGTTTTCAGCAAAGTCAAGTAAGGTTTCACTCAGGCTCCACCTTCCACAGCTAACAAAACAGCCAAGAAATGTAGTAGTGTCAGCTGTTGCAAATGACTTCTATATCAGCTGCCCAAACCATACAGTCAGTGGTTGGCTTATTATTTTTTTATTCAAAATTGAAAACTTTCCTCATTTGGCAACACTGTGTTTCCTCAGGGCAAAGTCAGTTCGTGTAATCACATTTGAGCAGTTCAACCAAGCCCTTACTGAGTTGGCTCCAAAACGTTTTAAAGGCAAAAGCAAGGAGGAGGCACTGCAGCAGCTCTATGGCCTCATTGTTGGGAAGGAGCCATCCAACGTCGGAATCACTGTGAGTATTTCATAAGTTATAACCACAACATACTCACCCTTCACCATCCTCAAGAATGCAACATCCAAAGACTGCACTAATGGATCCCTGCAAAGTTATACATATGTCGTATCAACCCACTACCACTCAACTGATAGTTCTAAGCTTAGGTATAATTTAGAAAGTACTTAAGTCTGTGATAGTTACATATGTTTGAGATTGGTTAAGGTTGGGGTAAGAAAGTGAAAGGATTTCCACCTCTGTTTGAGTGAGATTCATAACAATGTGTTTGCATATCTTTTAATTTTATTGGCTAAATCTGGTTTATGTGCCATAGACACCAAATCTTAGAGGTATGGGTTATTGTCTGCCACAGTGTCATTTTTTATTATACTGCAGAGGAGATAAAATATGTGTGTGTGTGTGTGTGTGTGTTTGTGTACATTATGGGGACTCGACGTCCTTGTGGGGGCAAAAACCAAGTCCTCATAATGTAAATCATTAAATTTGTGAGTGAAGAGAGTGAAGACATGTAAAGGTTAGGGATGCAAGGTTTAGGTTTAGATTAAGGGTTGGGGTTAGGCAAGTAGTGGTTATGATGACGTTAGAGTTAGTTTTTGTAGGACGTGTATGTAATCAATGTAATGTCCTCTGAAGTGACAGAAACCCAACTGTGTGTGTGTGTATGTGCTGTACCTGAATGAACAAAGGAGTGAAATGAATGCCTCTTTGTTATTGCGCTTTTCACTGTAAATTTGATCTTCCATTATGTTCAGAGAGTGGCAAAGGCAGCAGCAGTGGATAGACTGACTGATACCACCAAGTACACTGGATCACACAAGGAGCGGTTCGATGACTCTGGCAAAGGAAAAGGGAAGGCCGGGCGTGAGGACATCCCAGATACCAGTGGTTATGTGTCAGCTTACAAGGGCAGCGGCAGTTATGATGAAAAAGTGAAAGAAGCATAATCCTGATGACAGATTATGAAAACCTCAACCTAAATCAGGGGTATTAAAAAAAGAACAAATATTCATTGGCTACTCTATTTTTGAAGACAAAAGAAAATATATGTACTGTGGGCCTATTAATAACATTCTGAAAACAAGTCAACAACAAAAAAACAACAACATATAATTGGAGTTTCAAAGTTTTCATATAAGTGACAACCAGGATGCAAAACTTAGAGAAACTATTTCCTGAAAATAATAAAAAAATAATGAATATATTTACATGCAGAAAGTGCAGCATGCAGTTTTAAAGTGTTCTGTATATATTTTCAGTTATTTTACAGGGACCAAAAATTAAACTGCACTTGTGGCCAAGCATGCTTCGTAGAAACTAACTCTCCTTTGTACCATAGTTTAACACTGTGCCTTACTATTGATGTAGCCGCTAGCTTGAATGCTCTGATTTCATGTGCTGCTATTCTCCGCTAATTTGAGGCAACGGATGATAATTTAGCCAGTTTCAAGAAATCACACTGTCAGAGGTCACTCTTTCACTTGCTAAGCATATCACTTCATATTTCAGTGCCTTTTGCTAAATCATCAATTAGTGCCCATTATTACTCTTGTCACAGAATCTATTCTTATCAGTAAAGCAAAGTTGTTGTTTTTTTTTGTTTTTTTTACAAATAAGCTACAATATGTAGAGAATTGTAACAAGCAGTGAAAAACACACAGTTAGAGTGATGATGCTAAAAGTTATATAGGATACTCTAATGTCTTTCTTCATTATTTCTTCCTTACTGACAACATTGTGCTGTAATTCTTGGTGCTCATAAAATGTATCCTTTCACATTGTTTTATTTTCTTCCTAGGCTTAATGAATAAAAACATCCCTTTTCTCCCAGAATAAAAGGCTGAAAAATGCATTAAAAAGGAAGTGCATGTAAAAATCTAAATAAATATTTGAAAATGTGTGACCGTCTTACATGGATATACACTATGTAATTATATTATACTAAGTTTACATTTCAGTGACTGTGGAGGGACATTGCAACATAACATAAAAGAAGAAAATCCTTTGGATCCTTTTACCTAATTTGGATTTGAACACAGTATCTGGGGAAATATTGTAAAAGTATATAAGCACATTATAATATCTTCAAAACCGACAAGTAGGAATTCACTTCAACAGACAAAGTGCTCTGTGATTTCTGAGAATATGTATGATTTGATCAGTGTGTTATCTGATACATCCAGTACATGTCTGTAATGCAGCCATGCCACCCATAAATACAACATATATTAAAATAACGAGACTCTCAGTCTGGATTCGGTCGCAGATTATTATATGAGATATAATAAGATATATAAAAACATTAACAGGAGACAGAGAAAGGCAATATCTCAATTATTCAATGAATAGCTCTTTAAGGCAATGCAGGTCATAGCTTCTGTCATGAAAATGACCCTCACCTAAGTCCTGCTGGTTTCCAGAAATAGCCAAGATACTGTTTCACAACATAAAGAGTTCACCTAGAACAAAGAAACACTCAGTATATACTCATCCATCCTACCTGGACCCTCCTTGTAATGTGACACTGATGGCATTTATGGAGGATTCATAGGAACCATTCGACAATGCTTATCATGTGGTGCACAGCTTTCCTCTTCTATATCTCACACTACAGGCCTGACCCGATAAGCATCACTTGTGTTTTGGGTGAATACTGGCTTTGAATTTCATTATACAGAACCTGTAGTCTGTGTATTGTCATGTTCAGCTCATCATTCACTGAGATCTCGACACATAATGAAGGAATAATTTTATAAATAAATGGTACATAGTGGATTTTTTTTTTTTTTTAAGTAACTTTGTTTTCTTTTTTCAGATTTGCTGATGCTGATCATCAGAGTTAAATCTTGACATTCTTCAAAGACATCTGCATTAACTGCTTTTTGGGCCACTAGAAAAAAATCACTGACGCAATATCACCTCATAACTTTGATCGATTTGATGTGTTTTTTTGTTACAAATCCAGCAGTCTTATAGCAACATATTAATTAATTTCGAGTCATGTAATATGAGTTTCTACATCTTTATACTGGAAAGAGCTGCCTGCTTCTTCGGGAAACTATGGTGATGACAGTAAAGTCAGTAAAAGTGTGGACTGTATAACCAAAGAAATGAGTGAAAAGATGCTGAAAGGCTAGGAGGACTGTAAACTCAGGCAATAATCATCTGTTCTAGGCAAGCAACACCTTTCACATTACATGCGGTCATTTAATCAGTTGCTAACATAAAAATATTCATTACAGCAATTCTGGGGTATCCAGAATGAGATTTCCACTTTTACAATAGACAAGGTTGACAAACCAGTAACAGTCTACTACAACACAATTAAGTTGAAATTTGGGACAAGAAATCAGTTTGAACAGTACAGTATGGTCAAAATATTTAGCCTTTAGGGACAAAGAATTCATTATGTATGAATTTTAGAAAACCACAATTCTAACATTTTGTGAAACAGCTGAGGTTACAGTGATTTGCAGCTCTCTACAGCACTCTATTGTGTTTACTGTAGTTAATAAGACACATGAAAGATCATTGAACTACTGTGACCAACTAGATTTCAAAAGAGTCTTTATTGCTCTTAAAGACTATACGACTGATTCACATAACATTAGTGTCAATGTCCAACTCAGCACTTTCCATTTTTAAACTGCTCCTCATGGTCTGATCATGATTAACAGAAGGATACACACACTGCTGGAAACACCAGCCTGAACTAAAGTAGGTCATTCTTTCAGTGTGATCAGAGTGACAGGTGCAGAGGGATAATGCAGCAGGCTTATCATAAACAAGAAACAGAGAGATCCTATCAGCTAATGTGACACCTCTGACCTAATAACCAACATATATACATACTGGCTCTATGAGATACAATCTGTAGGAAATTTTGATATACACTGGGGAGCTCATCAGGATGGTCCCCACTGAAACCCTCTCCCACAGGTCACACCTAGAATAAGTAGAGCAGGATGAAAAATGTGTATGAGAGCGGAGTGAAGTTAGGGAAATAGACCATTCACTGGAGAGTGCAGGCTGCAGACAGAGATCTCTCCACCCATCTGGAAATAAAACTGACGTGAAAAGGAACAGTTGTCAAGGAAAGTTGTCATCGTGGACACTGCAGGTACGCACTACTTTTTTCAAAAATGAAAAATTCACCTTTTATTGGTCACCAGGATTACTTGTGGTTTAAATGCTGGACTGTAAGATTTTACGTGGAGACATGTTGGAGAGGAGATTCACTGCTGAATTGCGCTGAGTCAAGTATTTTGACCAAAAATATGAGGCGAATACGCACAAGACCTAATTTTCATGTTTCTTACAAGATATTCTTGTAGATGTAGTATGCAGGCTACTCTTTTAACATTAAAACCAACTGTGTTCTGGCCTTTTTTAAATTTTTTTTTATTTTTAAACTTCTTCACATCATTTGGCAAAGCTGGGTACACTTTGTCCAGCAAAGATAATTTTAAATTTCTGTTCTGAAATCTATTCCACACTTTGTAAAGCAGATGCATAAAATAGTGTTCACCCGTGTAATTAGAAATGAATGCTAAAGTTTATAAAAGACAGAAACACATCTGCTAATTTGAACATTTTAAATGACAATGAGACTATTAATGAACATCTGTTTTGAACCTGTGAAGTTATTTTGTCAATTGACTTGAATTAGTCATCTTAATCATTTTTCATTCAGTTATTGCTCTATATAACTAAAGAATATCAATTTCCAGATTGCGCCTACGTTGATGTTATACAGTAAATTTGACTGCAATGTTCATTCCTCCGACTTCTTTGTCTGCAGACATTTTCTTGTGCTGTGAGATGAGAGCTATAGTATGCACTCTGTTTGTGTCGGGCCTGCTGTGGGACAGTGTGAGAGCCGAAAACAATATCAGCAGCCTGCGAGTGGCAGCAGGTAAACCACTGTTATACAAACTCCTGATCTGAGAACACCTTCACATTTGACTACAACTGAGGCATGTTAGGATTGATACACTGTCAGTAAGTGATAAAAACGCTTGAGCAGATGGTCAGCCAATGGGACGGAGAAAGAAAGAGAACAGGGTCACTATATTGTGTGTTGACTCTCCATTTCGTCCCCTTAACAACCAATGAAAATGTTTTATTTACTGATATTTCTGTCTCTGTATCTCTATCATTTTCAGTGCATAAAAAGTTGTATAAATGTTGATGAAATTAGTTTTTGAATATGACCATTTGCATGTTTTTGTTAGGTACATATTTATTTATCTATATGTCCCTAACAAAACATCCCTGTGCCAGTTTTTTTATCCTAACCAAACATAAAACATTTGCTGATCAAGATTGATGACACTCCTTCCCTTTTCCTCTTTTTGCCTTTGTAGTAGCGTGGGAGGGGGAGCTGCCGTGCTTAAAGTGGGACTGTGAGTGTGCATTCAAGCGCCAGCGGGGCTGCTGCTGTGCCAACCATGAGCTCCAGGAAGCTGAGGATCAAATCTTTATGAGAATGATGGACCTGTCGACCAGAATGTACCAGCTGGGTGAAAGCATCCTTGAAGTCATAGGTACTCTGGAACATGGACAGTGGTAGAAATAGTCCATAGAAAAGTCATAATTCATATGATTATAGCTGTTGATGAAACTATTTGTGTTGTTTTGAGTCTGAGGGACAATCCCTACTGACCCAGAAGATGTTGACAAAACTTGATGGAATCGTAGATGATCAAATTTCTGTCTTTTTCTGAATATTTACAAGTTGAATTTTTTCAATTTGTTTTAAATGGATCATCCAACATGGATGAAATGTCCGTGTCTGATAATCAGAGTGAAATGTAGCTTTCTTTCACTTTCAGTTCTTTCTTTAGTCTTTCATCCTGTCTTTGTATTCATATTAGTCTATTTCATGTTGAGAGGGGGAATTATTTTGATTTGCTTTAACCAAACAGTAGCCAGCCACTTGCTGACAATTTCAGTAAAAACAAAAGGCAGTGGTTGCAGTTTCTAGGATCAGGTAATTTTTTTCACATTGATCAAAACAAAATGTTGATTTAAGAGAGAGACAATTTCTCTGACACAATTTTTCTGGAATGTAGCTTGGTAGCTAACTAGCTATGTATAA